CTGCTGATGTTTTAGTTTTAACTATCCCTTCACTCTAGTTAATGACATAAAATGACACAGCTCAATAGTTAATGGCAAGGATTCCATGCGGCGCTGCCCTGATGTAGCAAAGCAGTAAACCCCAATGAACCAACTGTTCATTAAAAGTTTGTGGAAGGCCTAGACACCCGTTGCCATGTGGGGATTTAACCTCAGGTGCTGCAGAGTTACCACCCCACATAGCAACTTGTGCAGACCCCACTGGTTTTAGGGAAGGTACTTTTTTTGTAACAGATCAGGTCACTTGTGACTCCTTTACAAGTGAAGCTAAGGCAGGTCGGCAGCCAGGGCCAAACACCACATTCCAAGAGGAGGGGTCTGGCAGTCGTGGGTGGGTATGTGGCGGGTACCTGCAACAACGAGGAAGTAACTTCAGAGCATAGCAGGAAGGTGGGGCTAAGAAACAGGGCTACAGGGTGGGAGATGGGGGTGGCGTGGGAAGGCAGGTTTGATGCGAGGAAAAAAGGGTGCTTTACCTTAAGTGTTCTTAAATCAAAGCTCCCACAGAATCTGCCTCTCATAGTGCAACTCGCCCACTGCACTAAAAAATATTTACAAGATTGTATCCATTTATAATATATGGCTTAATATTTTTATACAAAGCATCAGTCACAGAGCAAAATTCTTCGTAAAATGCTCTTGGGTAAGTCTGGCACTTTACTGCATTGGCTAATATGGATCTGCCACTTTGGTTTGCAGGTGATTGTGCTTTTGCACATATCACACCAGATCGAAGTTGGTGATTTCACTTCGGGGCTTGGTCTCTGCAGTAACGACAACCTTGACTCCGGCTCAGCTCAGTCACATACATGGGTTTCATGAGCCCCAACTGTAGAAGCAAACTCGGAACCAAACTTGGCCAGTGCTGAGAGACTTTTGGCAGTTTCAGATTACAATCTCTTGTGTTCTATGGAAGGACAGCTCTTTGGTAATTATAAAGGAAAAGAGCAAAGCAGCCAAAAAAAAAAAAAAACCCTGCAAGGGAAGTATGTTCAGCCAATGTATAAGATGCAATCCATACTGATGGAGGAACAGATCCCTTCTTGCTGACAAATTGTATCATCGAGAATTCAAACGAGGGGCAACCTAAGGAAAAAAAGAGAAAAGTGGAATGGAAACAGATCCGACAGCAGCTTTTAGCAATTCGGCCATGAAGATACCAACAACTGGATTGGAGCAGAGTTGAGGATGCAGAATAAATAACCTGTTTTGATCAAACAAACTCAGCCAAATTCTGTAAATCAGGAAGCGCACACACCAATCAGCCACTGCAGGAAGTCGGGGAGAAACACCTATTTCTTAAATCTCACCGACTCCCAACCATTTACCCCAGTAAGTCTTCAACCAGGGTTCTCTCTGGAGGAAGCTCTACTTTCCTTGTTCCACCTGGTAGAAACTGGGGTCACATGAAGTTGTTCCAATTAGCAAACAGTGGCCAGTCTCAAAGGGCTGAGAATCGGACAGTATTTTGGGCTACATCATAATGAAGAGCAAAGCTGGGCCTTAACCAGGCGGCGCTTTGTCCATAGCACAGGGGCAGTTGCTTCTTTCAGTGTCCTGGCTGAACACCAGCCACCCGTGAAGTCGTCTATTGTATGTGACTAAGTGACTCGCTCTCTCCCCAGCCCCGCTCTGTAGGGCGGCTCGCTCAAGTGGGTCCATCCCGCTGGAGGGGAAGTGGAAAGTTATTTCCCTCGAGGGGGTTACCAGGGTGTTGGACTTGTCTGAGCTGAAAGGGTCGTGCAATTGGCTGGGCTCCTTGAGGAACCCGACCATGTGTGCACAACGGGGAGGGGGCCCAGAAGCCCCAGCCAGTTGACCACATTAAGCTCCGGTCAGCTAATGCAGCAAGACCCAGGGCAGGTCCCGCCCCCAGGCTCATCTCACGGAGCCTGCAGGCGGCTCCTTTTGGCCTGCTGGGATGTGGCAGCAGAGGGGAACACAGCTGGTGCTATGGCGACCTCAGTCCCGGGGGCAGGGGGAGCTGATCTTGGGTTAAAGGATTTTGTCCTTGCTGCTGCTCTAAAATCAGCGTCAGCCTGTGGGTTGGAAACAGAAGGTGGGAAACTGCTCTGACCCACTCCAGCTGTAGCCCTAACATGTCTCCGCATGGGGAAGCCGGCGATCCCAGTGTTCTGTACGGGATGCGCTAAGAGCAGCAGAGACTGCACGTTGAAATGTGGCTAAACGAATTCCTGCCCTTCCCAAGCCCTGCAACGTCTCACATCACAAGGCACTTACCACGGCAAGGTGGCCATTTTTGGCTTTGGCTATGAGCAGTTCAGATCCTGATGTAAAGTCAATGATTCCTTCTTTGCCCTGCCCAATCGTAAATTTGATGCTGAAAGAAACAAAGGGAGAGTCTGCACGTGGGCTGTAAGCAGCCTCTTAGCTAAGTCCCACCGGGTTCGTGAAAACGTGAATCTTGGCTGTTACGGGAAGTGCCCGTCTGTCCCTGTCCCTAATGGCACCGCCTCGCTGTAGCTCCTCATTCCATGCCAGGGTGCGTGTGCCACGTGCACGTGCCAGAAGGTTTTGCCCCCAATGGGGTGCACAGGGCTGGCACAGGCAGCGTCTGGAGTCTCGCACGGATGTGCCGGTTTCAGGGGCAGTGCTGGCAGCTGCCCCTCCCCTCCCAGTGCAACTCAGAACTGGGCCTCTGACCAGGGGACGGCGAGAATGGACGTGAGCAGCTGTTAGGAGAAGTCGGTGGCTGGTTTTTCCTTGCCTGCTTGCTCATGCCCATTCCATGTCCCGTAACTCACAAGCAGCACTGCTGGAGGAGGCAGGAGTTGATGGATGTGGAGACTGTAACGCTGCTTTGCCAAAGCCAGCATCCTCTCAGGCTAGCTGAGTGAGGCACAGTGAGCTGGGAAATTATGAACAGGCAACCAGGTCTTGGATTGGAACATGCACCAGGAAAGCGGCTGCTGATGCTGCGTTCTCCAGGAACGAGCCGGAGGTGTGGCCTGTGCCTGCGTTGGATGCAGGCGCTGATCTAGGACAAAAGTCGGGGACGACACTGGGGGACCTTCATCCTGCCAGGCACACAATGAAAAGCTGAGGTGACCTGCCAAAGGAAGTGGGGGGGGAGCGCGGCACGCTGATGCCTACACCTCTCCTCACTCGCATTGTACAGGGGCAGGAAGAACACCTGACTCGCATGGAGCTGAGATACCAGCAGTGGCATGAAGGCCAGGGGGGCGGCGTGGTTGTACCCAGCCCTTAGGAAGGGCAGACACCATAGAAAGGGCTCTAAAGTCAGGGCTTCAGTCTCAGAAACTCGCCTTCCCCAAGTGATGGCTAGAAGGAAGGAGGGAAGCGAGCAGGAGGTGAGGCGTTTGAGGAGAGGACCAGCGGGCCTGGCAATGATCCAGTCGAGATCCCCGTGGGGACCCAGATCACAAACCTGCCCAAAGTCTTTCCAGGCCTTTAAGGACTCGGATCATTACATGCGAAGATCTCCCTGGGACGGGAGGTGGAAAGGCAGTAGGGCTGCCAGGTGCACCGTGTCCCCCCAGAGTGCCAGGCCTTGGTGCTTGGACTGGAGACGTTTCAGATGGGAAATCCACGGAGCCAGGCGACTCATTGCTCTCTCAGAGCCTGCTGGCCTGTTCCTCAAGGCGCAGCCATGCTCCCGGGGCGCAGAGACACGGCTCGGCCAGGAACTGCCTGCCCCACCTAGCGCAGGTCTGGGCGGGTTGGAAGCAGCCAGGGAGTTGCCACCACGTCATGGAAATACCAAATCAGTGCTGGTGAGGCCGTGCCAGGGGCTTTGCCGTGTGGCTGGTGCCAGGCACAGAGCAGGGAGCCAACCCATGGCACTGTGTTTTGCCTGGTACAAACAGCTCCGTGTGGGGAGTTCCCCACCGGGGGGATTGCCGTGGTGGGAGCCCTGAGGCCAGCTGCCAGCATGTTCTGGACTGGGGGTTTTCCAGGGGGGCAGCGTGTTGGATGCAGAAGTGGCCAGGGTGAAGGGCGTCTTGGCAGAGGCCGTGAAACTCTCTGCTTCCCACCGCCGTGGTGAGGCCGAGCGCCGCGGGCTGGGAGGGGGGGGCCATGGAGGAGGCTGCCAGGCTGCGCCGGATCCCGGCCCCGTGAGGGTGGGGGGGTGCTCCCCCCGCTGTGTCCCCTGGGCACTTCACGCAGTTCTGGTGGCTGTCGCTGATGGGCTCCCTGCGCTGTTCACCCCAGGCTGGGCCGTAGGCGCTGCTGCTTATTCCTGGAGTCTCAAACGCTGGAACACCCGGGCCCCGTTCCGGAGCCGCAGGGCTTTCCCGCCCATCCCTGGCAGGGTGGGGGAAGGAGCCGGCAGGGCCGTTAACGTGCATGAGTCCGGAGAGCGAGGGAGCACGGGGGCAAGCGTCTGGCACCGGTGCATGTAGCGAGCGTGTGCACCTGACACGGAACGGACCTGAGCGTGCAGAGAACTGGCTCTGATGTTACCCAGAAGCACCTAGACCAGGCTGGGCGAGACCACGTCTGCAGGTGGATCCGGCCTTCGGCTGCCTTGCTGCTCCCCTGCCCATAGGCCAAGCGAGACCTGGCCCCGGGGGGAGGGTACAAAGTCTCTTCCCCCTGCCGGGGCGCGGCACAGGTGGGGTGGGGTGGAGGAGAGAGACTTCGCCCAGGCGCCTCCAAAACAAACGGGCAAGTCTCCCTCCAGCCCCCTGATAGGGCCACGCACCTTGGGTCCCCGGAGGGAGTCCAGCTGGGAGGAGAGGAGAAAGAGACTATTTCCCTAACCCCCCCCCCCAGTTTCTTTCTTTGGGGGAGGAAGCGCAAAGCCCCCACTGGCCTGGGGCCAAGTCTCCTCAGGCCGCCAGGGGTGCACGGTGCCTAGAGGGAACAGTTCACAGCTGGTGGTTCTCTCTAGGCACCATGCGCCCCTGGCAGGCGGGGGGCAAAGACTTCCCCTGCTCCTGCGCCCCAAGCCAATCAGGGTCTGTGGGCGGGGGAATCACTCGAAGTCTCTGGCCCCGCCAAAGTGGATTGCCCACCCCCGGTGCAGGCTGTTACAGGCTCCATGCGACCAGCGACTCATCCCTTTGTCAGCCACAGGAATGTAGCCATGGCCTGGCCAACGTGGCAGTCTCCTGGGGCAGGACGTTCCGGGAACGTGCAGTTTGGCAGGGCTAGGTCACTGCCCCAGAAAGCCTGAGCCCTGGTCAAAGGAGGATTTTCTTCCTGAACTCACCTGCCCTGACTGATGTTGATGTTGTTGACCTTGTCGGCACTCATGGCGGTTTTGGTTAGCGTCTCAATGACGTGATCGCTCTGTAGGACAACGTCTCCCTGGAAAAGCCAAGGGGAGAGCTTTGTCGTCGCCGGTTCTCAACAGCCTCTGATCTCAGTGTGTGAGCTAGAGTAGCCCCCGGGGCCCGCAGGCCAGGCTGCCTTTGTACGAGCATATAACCCGCCACAGCTCCCCCTGCTACTGACCCTAGACCCACATGCTTCTGAGGCTGCGGGCAATAAAGCCAGGACTCAGAGCCATTCCAAACTGCTGCAAGAGCCAGCAGAGAAGCCACTGGCACAGGACAAGCG